GCAAATAATGAATGCCGAAATAATTGCAAAGAGAAATGACATTTGAGAGGCGGAAAGGCATTCTGTAAAGTCTATAGAAGAGGGGAGTAATAGTTCTTAAATTCCAAAAAGGTAAAATAATAAAATACGAAGAAAGAGAAGGAAAAAAAGGAACAATAAAATTTCCTTTAAAGGAAATCCTTATCTTTCAAGTATTAAAAAAAAAAAATACTACCTGAGAATTGATCAATTGTTCCTCATTTTAGACAATTAATCTGGCTCATCTTTCCTATCACAATCTAATTTACATTTTGAAGTAATTCACAGTGATTTTTCCTTATATTTCCTACATTTATGCTCAAATGCATACATACACACACACATGCTTGAACACTCACACACACATACACACATCCCAAGCTATTGATGACCATTTTACATGTGTTGTATTGACCTTGTTCATATGGTCCCTTTATTAGTATATTTTCCTTTTAGCCTCTCTTTCTCCTTATGTCCAAATCCTGCTTTCCTTCCTGTGATTCACTGAAGGTTCACTCTCCCTGATCCTAACAGCTTAAACCAATTCTCTACTTCTTTTGCAGTCTTATTATACCAAGTCTATTCCATATCCAAGAAGTTTCAACACATTTTGCTGCACCTTAAGATACCTGCCTCGTCACTACATTGGAAAATGGAAGGGAGGACAAATACATCCCAGGTGAGAGCCGTTCTCCTCCATCCTTGACACTTCTTCCATGTAGCTAATGAAAGAAGATAACTGACCTTCTCCATAATAGACTTCAGAATTTTTTTCTCCTATAGTGTACATTTTTGCCTGTGTTCCCACTTTCTACCTAAAGTAACTATGTACCTTTCACTGTGTCACTGGTGTCTACTAATAAGTAGAATCTGTTGTCAAATAAGAAATATAAAATAGGTGTTCTCAGTGTAGTGGGAGATGGAGGCAAAATACCAGCTAATATATAAAAAGGAAAATAGCAGATATGTCCTAAGAAAGATGAGATACTAGTGGCAGGGGAATGGTTGACATAGGGTATAGCCTATGAAGAGAGATTTAAAGACAAGATAGGGACTCACTGTTCAAGTAAGAAAGTCATCTCAGCAGAGCAAACATCTATAAAGTCTCTATAGCCAGTTGAGGTGGTATGAACAACAAAAAGATGGCTAGGATACCATGTAATAAGGGATAGAAGAGTATGAACGTGGTTGAGGATTGCATCACATAGGGCTCAGATTACCTAAATCGTGGTAAGTTTTGAATTTTTTAATATAAGGGAAATCATGAATTGAAATAAGAGAGATGCTTTTCAACTTGTCATGGGCTAAATCTTAATAAACCCATTATAAATTGAAAATATCACATCTAAAATGCACTGAATATACTAAACATGAGGAATATCATAACTTTCTGCCACTTCCCAGTATAAATCAAATCCTACTGCACCAGAAAAAGACCAAAGTACAGTTTCTACTGAATGCTATCATTTGCACATAATCACAAAGTCAACAAATTGGCCATACACTGGTGGCTCAAGCCTGTAATCCTAGCTACTCAGGAGGCTGAGATCTGAGGAGCAAGGTTCAAAGCAACTCAGGCAGAAAAGTCCAGGAGACTCTAATCTCCACCTAAACAGCAGAAAAAAACTGGAAGTGAGGCTGTAAATTAAGTGGCAGAGTCCAGACTGGAGCACAAAAACTCAAGGACCACACCCAGGTCCTGAGCTCAAGCTCCAAGATCAAAACAAAACAAACAGCAACAAAAGCAACAACCCTGCAAGTCAGGTGCAGTTGTACATATTTACAATCCTAGAAGGTAGAGTTAGCGAGGATTGTGGTTCAAGGCCAACCAAGGGAAAAAGTTAGTGAGACTGCATCTGAACAATAAAGCTAACATAGTGCAATAGCTGTCATGTAGCTACATGTGAGATGTAGATTTGAGGAGCATAATCTGAAGGTGGTTTTGTCAAAAATGTGAGACCCTATCTGAAAAAGTAATTGAAACAAAATGGGCTGGAGATGAGGTTCCAGTGATAAGAGTACTTAACTAGCAAGTTTGAGGCCATGAGTTGGAATCCCAATATTGCTCCTGTATTGTATGTCTAAGTACCATAAATCAGGGATCACAATGTATATGACCTACAGTTTCAGGAGACTAGAGTGCTTGCTATGTGAGAGATTTTATTACAAAGGGCTCTGGTGATGCACTGGAAACTGGAAAACAAGGTACGAATTGGTGGAGTAGAAATAAAAAGAAATGCAAAAATAGGTGGTGAAGAAACAGTTTGTTGTACTAGGTAAAAATTGAATGAATGAGAAAGAGAAGACACTTTTACAACTTTATTCACTAAATTTCTTTCGTCTACCAATCACATGGTCACAGATACTAACATCAGGATTAGCATTTGTAGTGCATTCATTCCATTGTTAACGTGTTAATTTTTCCATCTTGTCTGAGCTATAAACCTATAGGATTTCAAATCTGATAAGAACTCAGCTACCTTCCTTCTACCTGATAAATTCCAACTCAACCCTCACCTGTTATTTCAAAATTTCTGCGAGGCATTAATTAGTTGAATTCTTGTGCAGAATTTTTTTTAAATCCCTTTCTTCCACATTAATTCTGTGTGTTGTGTTTACTTTTCTGTATTTGATTATGTTCTCATATCCCCAACAGACTGATCTGCCCAGGGACACAGAATGCTTTTAACCTCTGCACGCTTAATGTATTATTTTCAGAATTAAAGATAGATACATAAATGGGAAAGTAGTTGGTGATTTCCTTTTGTCTAAACTATGGCAAGAGACCATTTTACCACTTATTAAATCTATCTGGAGAACATTTTTAAACTTTAAAAATATAGCCTTTTCCAATTTCAAATCATTATGGAGAACTTCTTATATTAAAGTTAATATCCTTTCTCAAATACTTCACTTTTTGATATCAGTTCTTATTAAGTGGGTAAAGGTTATAAAACTTCAAAATAATTTAATCATTTTTACAGAGATTAAGTCACAAAAATAAGTCACAAAAACTGTATGTAAAATGACTTGTACTCAGTCAGAAACAGATTATATGAAGTCCATTAACTGCCTGCAGGAAGAAAGAGTATTATGAAGCATATATAAAATCCCAGAAGGAATAGTTACTGACCTAGAATGACCCACATTTGTCCAAGAAAAAGAATAAAAATCACCACCAGCCCTTAATTTTCCTATTATGTACAGACTATTTATTTTTAAATACCATATATACGCATGCCTACACATACAAAATATGTGTTAATATTTTAAATTTCTAGTAATTATTAACAATGAACTATTTTCTATTATAAATGAGTTTGGGGCTTTTTTTTAATGGGATTGTCTTAGCCCTCACTGGCTTCTATATCCAGTAACAATTGCCTCCACCTCCCAAGTGCTAGGAAAATCAAATCTGGGTTTTCATCTCTGGAAAATGGAGATAATATCACTGTCTTATGAGTTTATGGTCATATTTAAATGATAAAAATCCCTGTATATCTCACATAAATTTTTATTATGTGAGCACCCAATAAATAAAATACCATACAAAAATCAGATCTCATGGTGGGAGAAGGGGTAGCAGGGGAAAAACAAAGGAGGAGGCAACGAGGCTCCATAGGAAATGTATTCATTACCTTACTCATGTAACTATAACCTTTCTGTACAGTATTTTTACAATAAAAATAAACCAAAAAATGTTAACACAAATGAAAAAAAAATCAGATCTCAGTTGCTTGAGTAGTTAGGATTATAGATGTGAACCACTGGCTCCTGGCTTAATATAACAAAATTTTAAATGATATAGTCAATATTCTTCCCTAGATCAGATCTACACTAACCAGCCAGTAAATTAAATCAGCCTCAAAGGAGACAGATGTCTAATTGATTAAAACACACCACAGACTATAACTGTATAGTAGAATACATAATTTTGTTTATGGAATAGGTATATATATATATTAATGCTCACAAAACAAAAATATAGTAATATAAATATATGAAATATAAAACAAAGAGACAGATATATGCTAATTATGCAAATAACTTATTTGTCTACTTAAAGTTCTATTCAGTGAATTATTTCTATTTGACAGCTGAAGAAAATGACACTACAAGATGTCATATAATTTGACAGACAGATCATGCAACTAGTAAGTAGCACATCTTGGATTAAATCAACATCTGTGTACCTCAGAGTTGTCTTTTTTTTTCTTTGCCAATTCTAGGTCTTGAAATCAAGGGCCTGGGAGCTGTTCCTGAACCTCTTTGTGCTCTACCACTTGAGCCACAGCTACACTTCTAGCTTTTTTTTTTTGAGTAGCTTATTGAAGATAAGAATCTCACCAACTTTCCTGCCCAGAAATGAGCCACTGGCACCCAGCAAAGTTACCTCTTTACTCATGATGATGTATATTCCTCCCAGGAATGAAAACAAACAATGTGCCATGACATTGAGAATTATTTTAAGGTCTGCTACTGTTAATAGTAGCCATTGGTACTACAATAGTATTAAACTTGGGAGAAATGTATGACACCCTGATTCTTTCTTTCAACAACTAAGTTAATTTCTGAAGGCATCAATATCTAAGATAGATAGATACATAGATAGATACATAGATACGTAGATAGATAGATATGTAGATAGATACACAGATAGGTGAAAGCTAGGTATAGGTAGATCTGTTTGTCTGTCTAGAGATGTGGGGAGGGAAAATAGGGAAGAAGGTAAAAGAAGAGAAGAGGGAGGAGGAGGAGGAGAAGGGGAAAGATAAGGAAGAGGGGAGAAAGGGTGAGAAAATTGGACTTGGTTAGTTTGGAAGGTTTTCTGGACTAAGGTATCCTATTAAATTCTAGGGCTCTCATTTAAGAATGAAATATTGCAAAATGACCATCTCACACGCTATTCCAACAATATTCTTGATGTGCCGCCAGTTGATCATGCCCCCTGGGATGCCTGGACATACAGAGGACTACCTTACCTGTAAATGAATGGAGCCACCGTGGCAGTATTCGGGTGACTGTGTTGCTGCTGCTGAGGGAGTTGGACAGCACCATTTCCTGTGCTCTGCCCACTGCTTTGTGCTGATTGTCCCATACAGGAACTGGAGGGAGAAGCGTGGCCAGCTTCCCTTCCCTCCAAGGGAACGGGGAAACTGGATGTGCTTGCTTTCTCTGAGGTTATGGGTTTGGGTAAGGACTGGGAAGGGCTTCCCTTGGTAGTCCTGAATTTTTCTGACTCTTTGCTTGCTGTGCTGCCTGGTGAAATGGTTTGCTTTGCTGTTGGCACCTTCGAGCCAGGTTTTGGAATCCCACTGGAAGATGGAATTAGGCTTTCCTTCTTGGCTGCTGGTGTCTTACTGCCCTTTGGGATCAAGCTTGCAATCTTAGAGGTCTTTTTTGGAGCTGTCTCGGTCAACTGATCCTTTTCTTCCTTGACTGGTTTTTCGGTGCACACCTTACTTTTGTCTCTGTTCTTTTCCTCTTTTTCTTTTGGCTGTAGCAAAGACTTTTTATTGCTGAGATTTTTGCTTCCAGCCTTCGGAGGGGTCAATTTAGGTGACACTTTGGGACTGCTGTTTGTGGAGCCACCACTAGTCAGAGCAGGGTTAAAACTTTCTATCTCACCAGATTCAGAAAAGACATCATCATCCTTCCCACCATCACCGAGTCCTGAACTGGAAGACTGCGGGGGACGTAATGCAGTCCGGGCATTGACCAACTTGAATTTTTCAAGCATGGATTTCTGTCCTGTGGGAGCAGTTTTGACTCCTTCTGAGACAGGTGGCTTCAATCTGTCTGAAGATGGTGTGGGGGAGGTGGCTGGGCTTGACTGCTTCACAGTCAACATGGTAGACGTGGCACTGTGCTTGACATTCATGGACTTGCTGCGCCATGGTTTGCTGGCACTCGGAGAAGGGATAGCAGAGGCAGGGGGCTGCCCAGCCATGCTGGGAGGCGGTACATTACCATTTATACCTGAAGGTGGCTGAGGTCCTTTGGAGGATTCTGAACATGGTTAAGGGAGAAATAAAGAAAAGCCAATTAGTCTTGATCATTTGTGTCACAACATTAAGCTCTTCACTATAGATACATAGAATTGTCTCTCCTCTTAACTGAAGAGAGAACAGTGTGGCATTTATGACTCCTATTAGGTGATTTTCCCATCTGTCAAAACATGCAGAGTATTCGAAAGGTATTGATTTTGGAGAAGTATGCTTTTTTCCACTCTGAAATTACTTTTCAAATTGCTTTGCTAATCACTGATAGCATCAGGTAAATAAAACAGTACCCAGTCCCTGTGTGATTCTTTGTATTTTTCCAGCTAACATTATAGCCCCTAGATTAAGTAGATATTCTTCATTGCCTTGTCAGAATCTGTTAGGGAATTAATATGGAGAAGTTCCTTTAACATACGATCTGATTAAAAATGCTAATGAATCATGATTTATCTTTTTTGTTAGTTATTTCTTTATGTAAGGTATTTGTTGAAATTTATGCTGCTGTAGGGCAGATAATCTAGTTGATCCATCTCTATCTTTATCTTTATAATAATCCTATAAGTCATGTATTAATATGATTTCCATTTTATAGATACAGCAACAAAGGCAAAGAGACTAAAGCAGTTGTTCAAAGTCACACAGCCTAGATTTCACCTGACTTCATAGACTGTGCTCTTGACCAGTAAATCTGCAACTTTTGGCAATAATCTTTAAGGGAAAAAGAAATAATTAAATTAGAGAATCTGATACTGTTAAACCTAATAGATGATGAAAAATAGAAATAAAACTTTTCATAGTTAAATGATCAAGAGAGGTACTGTGAGGAATGTTCTTTTCTCAATGTTCCAGAACTTGGCCTCATTACAGTTTATTATACAGTCATAATGTGAAACCATAATGCTTACATTTTAAATGCTTTTTTCAAAAAGTCAAAAGTCATGCCACACAGTATGTAATCAAGTCAAGTTGTCAAGATAATATTCACTTGAATATAAAAATATAGAAAATCACAGTTGTCAAGTTAATGCCACCTCAATTACAGAGATTCCAATGGAGAGAGTTTTTCCTCCAAATATGTATTACACACAGTCTAGGGCAATAGTCTTTCTAAAAATAATAATAATCAAAGCCATCTAGTTCCTATATAGCTCTACTCTAAGTTCATTATCTTTGAGTATTTACTGAGTGCCTACTCTATTCAACATACTCCAAGATACATTATAGTCTTGTTGAAAAAATAAAAGAGCTATAAAAGATAAATGCTAAGTATAATGGATGATAAATGACTAGAACACTAGAAGGAAAATGCTGGAGAAGATCCTAGATGGACAAGACCATAGAAGTCACACAATTAGATCATGATGGACAATATAAGGGTGATGTGTAGGCTTTCAAATCAAATGGAACCTTTATAAACTTTTCTAAAAAATTATGTCAGAAATATGTAGGGGTATATATCGAGATATTAATTTGGGAAGAAACACAGTCCCTCCAAATCAAAGCCTAAGATTAATTATTTCATTGAGTCATTATTTTATTTTCTTACATTGATATCAAAAGTTATTTGTAAGCTGGGTGTCTGTAATCTTAGCTACTCAGGAGGCTAACATCTGAGGATTGCAGTTTGAAGCCAGACAGGACAGGAATGTCTGTGAGAATCTTATCTCCAATTAATCACCAAAAAGCTGGAAGTGGAGATGTGGCTCAAGTAATAGAGCACTAGCCTTGAGCATAAATGCTGTGGAATAACACTCAGGTCCTGACTTCAAACCACAAGACCAGCAACCACAACAGAAAAAGTTGTTTGTAAGCTAGGCACCGGTGGCTCCCACCTATAATCCTGGCTACTCAAGAGGCTGAGGGTTGCAGTGAAGCCAGACCAGGAAGTAAAGTCCTTGAGATTCTTTTTTTTTAATTGCGAAAATACTGTACAGAGGGGTTACAATTATGTGGGCAAGATAATGAGTACATTTCTTATCAAGCATTGTTGCCTCTTCCTTTATTTCCCCTTCCCATCCCTTCCCATCTCCCCACCCTCCTCTCTTCATCTCTCCCTCCTTCCCCCATCCCCCGCTCCCACCAAAGTTGTAAAGTTCATTTTCGACATAACGACTTGTACATCTCATTGTTGCAATGGGTCCACCTGTATCCCTAGTTAAAGGATTTGGTATTGACCTTCCCTTCCACAAATTATACCAAATTATACTGACATCAAATACAGTGAAAGCAGGGGTTATACCGTGGGGGAGGGATATAACAAGCAACAAAGAAATCATCTTATAAATATGTTAGAAACAATCGCATGAAAGAAAAAAACATTTATTTCCAATTAACCAACCAAAAGCTGAAAGTGTAGACATGGCTCAAGTAGTAAATTACAGCATTAACCCTGAGTGTAAAAGCTCAGGAAGAGTGCCCAGGCCCTGAGTTCAACCTCAAATACTGATGCATGCACGGAGCACACACAAAGCACACACACACACACACACACACACACAACATATATACACACAAAGTTATTTGTGATATTTCTAGCCCTATCAGGAAAGTCATGTTAATATTACAAATACAATTATATAAACTAACATTCTATTGAAAGTTGTTAAATGTCATTATTTCCCAACCAAATGAGTTGGGAAGTGCTCACATTTCTAATTCACATTGATAGCAACCAAAGCTTAGTAAGCCTAAACGACTCATCCCAGTGGTGCACAGCAAATGTGAATTATGAAGGGCTATTTTTTGATTCCACACTGTGTGATTGTATGATTAACACAGGTTATTTGACATTTTAAGTGGCTAGAAGTCGTTCTCCGAGGAGCATACATGTAATTTAGGGATCTTACTGAATGTACACTGTGATTATGTCAGTCTGAATGGGCTGGGAGATTCTCCATTCCTAACAAGCTGCCTGGAGATGTGAGTGATAAGGGTCACAGACCATGTTTTGGTTAAACTAATTCCTAGGTCATGAAAATTATTTCTCTTAATGGTATCCACATTGTCTAAATCCATTAAGTGTTCTATAATGAAGAGTATGAATATTTTTCACTCTTCAAACTTTCAGAACCTTGGTCAGCTCTGAGTTCATCTTGATGGTTACAGCTTCATGGAAATAAAGGAAAAATATCACCAATAACAAAGCAAGATCTTCAGATTTTTCTAGTGTTGTGTTTGCTTTTCACTTTATTTGAACCACCAATTTACTGTGAATCTACTGTGTATTTCCATCTACAGTAGTGAAGTCCAAAAACTTCTATCCTTGAGTGGCTCGAAGGTTTTAGTAGGAATGAGAGAAAAGGGTAGGAAAGTATCAGTCAAGATGCTTTGTAAGTAGCTGGTAGACAAAGAAAGTAAAAGGTTGTGTTCTTCCTCTAGAAGAGAAACCAAGCTGAGGGCACTGACTAGATAGACTGCTATAAAAGTTCAAGTACAGCAAAGGAATTTGAACACACTTCTAAATGAGACAAGAGGGACTCAAGATTATGGCACCCTCATCCAACACACAGTAATGGTCATAGGAACAGCTGCAGAATTATTCTCAGTGGAGCACACACAGTATAAGGCTCTTCTCCATTCATGACTCGAAATCCATCCCCAGCCTATCTCTGCACAGCAGCAATGAGGTGTTTCAGGTTTCATTAATAGGGTAAATCACAGGTCGTTGAACATCATGAAGACACTGGAATGGTAAGAGTCTCCCAGGACTCCTCAGAACTAAGGGTGCAGAACAACACAGCTGAAATGGAAGCATCCGTGGCTTCTCCAGGGTAGCTGCAGTACAAATCCCAGGCTCTTCCTCTTTCATACTAAATAATCACTACCTTGCACCCAATGACATATTTCTGAACACTGATAACTCCTGCTATGGAGAAAAGACACTTAATTCACAAATACAGTAGCATTCCTGCAATGAATTTGTGTTTTGCATTTTCCTGGTCTTTCTCTGCTTGCCACCCTGCCTGTTCTCCCTGAACTCCAAAAAGCCATTTTCTTTCCACCTGGTTCCATCTCCACATCCATCATCAACAACTCCACCATAACCAAATATCAGCACTCACCAATTACGTGCTTTATTCTGAGCACTTTGTAAGCTGAATATCCTACTGAATACAAGAAAGCTTTGGCATCTAGGATCTCTAAGGAAGGAAGGAAACGTTTGAGCAATATGAGATGGCAATCAGTATGGTAGGTGATTAATGTATCAAATAGCAGTTTGGCTCACAATACCCAAAACTTTGGGAAAAAGTAGAAAAAGTAGCATTCTAATGCAAATGTGTCTTATTGCTATCTTTTCCTTAACACATAGTCTTGCAAGAATGATTATTGTGTGAAATGTCTATTTTATGATGACATAATGGTATTGCAAGGATTTTTGTTCAGGTTTCTACCACATCATTTGCAAAGTAAGAGTGCCACTCTGTGGAGGGCTGGGGAATTTAGGTATGTTTCCATTCACCAGCCAGTCATTTTCTTTCAAGTATGCAATTTGCATTCAGGTAAGCATAATGCATGAACACTTCAATATGCATGTATGTATATGTAAAGAAATAGCATATATGACCAAGACTAGTTACCTTTCATAAACTAATATATTCCTAGTTGTGTTAACTTGTGAAAACTTTTTAAATCCGTGAAATTACAATATTGACATCACATTTTAGGCTTGTGTAAGTACTAAGTGATAAGGAAAAGAGTTGTAGAAAGATGCATAATCAAATCATCAGGAAAGTCACATAAGTAAGATTCATTTGCATTACTTTGAAAAGCAGATGAAACAGTTCAGTTCCTTTTGGTAAATTCAGAATAATTAAGACAGAAAAGTGCTTAAGAGCAAAATCTCTGTGTTTTAGCAGATAATGAGTGGCTGAAATTCCATGACTAATGCTAAATTCACATGAACTCTACTAGTTTCAAACTATTGGGCTAAGATGTTTGTAAATCCTTGGAGTCAGTCCTACTAATTTTATGCTGAGTACATATTAAAGTAAAAGCTTCCACAGCAAG